AATAATAATTGAAATTTATAATAACATTTATAATAATTTATATTTCTGTTAATGTTTGTATCTTACAAAGGAGGATTAGTGCCAAATTTAAAAAGAGGAAAAAAATCGTAATGTTTCTTGATTAAACTATAAAAATGACTTTTTCTGGTAAAATTCAACTTCACTGTTGTAATATTACAACTTTTCTTCTCTGATCTTTTTTCAATGTGGCCCTGATCCTCCTTCACTGTGTCCAACAGGAGTAATTTTATAAGTAAAATAATGATGGGGATGTTTTTTAAACTCTGTCATGTGACCTACTGATCAATGCTGATACTAACTGATGAAGGTGACACTGATGACGTCAGGACAGCCATAAACATTTGATGATTGAAGCATGATGTGATGGTAAAGAGTTGTGCACATGTTTGTATTTCTTCAAAAACTGTACCATTTTATTGCAACTTTATTATGTCCTGTTTGTGCATTATTGGGACAGCAGGGATAACACTATAAGTCTGTGTTTAGATTTGTACATGCTGTGTGTTTTCACAAACTGAAAGAAAGCAAATCTTAAATGTGTTGTTGTGTTCTTTTGTAGAAAAAGCAGAAGAGCCGGCAGACCCAGAGGCCTCCATCATCCTCAACATCCAGGCCGAAGACAGCGACGCAACCGAGCAAGAACCCAGCCAGCTGCTCCCTGATGAGGCTGCGGAGTCCTGCAAAGATGCCAAAACACCCAAGAAGAAAAAGAAGAGCAAAAAGGATGTAGAGAAGTCAGCTGCCGACACGCCGGGCACAGACTCATCCACCATAGATACATCAAGTGATACTGCCCTCTCCACCAAGACTGCCAAAAAGAAAAAGAGAGGCAAAAAGAGAGCGGAGGAGGTGGCAGAGGAAGAGGAGGATCCGGTGAAAGAGGAGGAGGAGGAGGAGGAGAAGCAGGAGGAGGAGGAGGACATGTCTGAGACCACTTCATCAGGGAAGACTAAGAAAGCTAAGAAAAGGAAGAGGGAGGTGGATGAAGTGGAAGAGAAAGATGAGGCAACTCCTGTAACTCCCTCAGAAAATAAAATAAAGAAGAAAAAGAGTAAAGTAAGAGAGGCAGAAAAGGAGGAGAGTGAGGCAGCAGGAGTGGATGAGGAGGAGGAGGATAAGAATCTTGTGAGTCCAGCAGAGACATCAGAGGAGAAAAAGAAGAAGAAGAAAAAGAGGAAAAAGGGCAGACGAGAGAAGGAGGAGGTGCAGTCTGATAAACCACCAGCAGGGGGCGACGAAGACATAGAAAAGGAGCTGGAGGCCACAGGTAGAGTCAGAAAATACACTTCACTTCTCTCGTTTCTTAACGTGGAAGTTATCTTGAATATTGTATAAAATAATACATTATTTTTTGTAAATGTTATTTTCATGTGCTTGTACACTAAAGAAAACACACTTACTATATTCCATTGCTGCCCATATATCCTCCTAAATCCCACACACTGGACCTTTACATGACATTATCCTTCTAACTGTATTTTTACAGTGTGATGTTGCTACTTTTACTTTAGTAAAAGATCTGAATACTTCTTCCTTTCCTGACATCTTTAGATGGAAACTCTTCTCAGCTCTCTTCAGCCAAAAAGAAACACCGTCCCAGGAGGAAACTCAGCCTGGTGAAGAGACTGAGGCTCCACAGGCAGGAGGAAAGGAAGAGGGGGAAGAAGAGCAGCAGCAGCAGTTCAGGAGAAAGCAAGACGCACAAAGGCAAAAAGAAGTCAGTGGAGTTTTTATTTTATGAGAGTCTCACTGTTTAAAACTTAACATCATTTACGCTGTTATCATTACAATGTCGTAATTGTAAGTGTGCAGACGTAGGATTAAAAGTTAATGAAACAGCAATAATAACAGATTTTTGGGGGGAATTGTAGATTTAATTTAGTATTTACAGTTACATAAACAAAAAAGGACAAAACATTAGACAGGCAAAAACTTCCAACAAAAGTAACAACATATTCTAGCATAACCAGAGATGTAGGCTGAAGCTTCAAGTGTCAAAAGTATTATTAGTCATACAGTAAACAGTGTAATATCTTTACCATAGTAATGTCCAAATGCCTTTTTGGTTATATGAAGAAAAGAGGAAGATTGAATCATTTATTTGCTATATGAAAATAATAATAACTGTGTATTTTTGCAAAAGTTTACAGTGTCCAAGGGTAAATTTAAAGAAAAGTATATATTTAGACAATGTATAAAGGCCCAAACATATGCAAAGCATCTGATGCTCACATTTTTAAGAAGACCTAGTGTTTAAATAACCAAACATGCACCACAGGTGTTATAAGGGGCGTCAAACTGCTTTGACACCCCTTCGTTGCCCTTGTTTCCTTTTTGGAGCAACAAAGAGGACCCAGCGGCCAAAGTTAGTTGCCCTTTTTACACAGAGATAGCGCTATAAGGCCGCTATGAAGTCCCTTCTTTATGCCGCTTTTGCATTTTTACATAGCGATAAACTATGGCCGCATCATGCCACCGCATTGTGTGATTATGGACAACATGCCAGCTTTGCAGAATTCCATAACATGTTGTCACGATGCAACATTTGTGCTGCCCATGATCCCGTCGTGCCAGCTGTCCCGTAACGGCGAGACTACTGCGATTGTACCCTTTATACAGAACGGCGTGAAATTCCCACCGTGAAGACGCAATGTGAAAGGGGCTGATGACGCAGAGAGGACAGACGGAGAAGAAGACGTGCCACAAAAGCTGACATTTGCTCCGCTAGCTTAGCTTAAAACTTAATAAACAATACAATTGTAATTCTGCAATGCTAAATTAAAAACAACTACCACTGCCAACAGCTTTACCACTAGTTATGTTGTCACATATCAGATACTAAAAAGAAGAAAAATAAAAGCTTAGATAGTGACCTTGATTGTGATGTTACCATGACAGACCCACTCCACATCATCATCATCGTTTATTGACATCTACTGGTCATAAACTTAATTTGCTACACAAATGCAACAGCTATAATAAACATATTAGTACAGCTGTGCTTTATGTTACTTTTTCACATAAAAACGCTGTTTCTGTGGTGTTAAGTTTAAATCTGAGGCCTGCAGTGTGCCACAGGAGCATCAATTGACTGAGGCACCGCAGTTGTCGCTTTCAGAGCGTTTGGGCCTTAACAGTTATGGAATAATAGTAAACATGTATGATGTGCATCTCACAAGGATAATAATATAACATTTACTATTTTCCAGACAAAAACAGATCCAAGATGCAGCAGAAGAGACGCCTCAACCAAAGCCAGCCAAAAGACCTCAACCTGCCCAGGATGACGACGACAACACGCCAAAGAAGAAGAAAAAGATGAAAACGAACACGGAGCAAGAAGAGAACTCCTCAAAGGAAAACCAGCCGCCAAAGACGAAGAAAGAGAAGAAGAAAAAGAAGGGATTGTTGAGGGAGGAGGATGAAAGCGGCGCAGTGACTGCTGAGCCTCCTGAAGTTGACTCGTCTCCACTTTCAAAGGAAAGCAAGAAGAAGAAAAAGAAGAAGATGAAGGCTGGAGAAGGCGAGGGGACAACAGAGAGCTCAACTCCCATCACTGTGAGCCAAGATGTACCTGCAAAGAAAAAGAGTAAGAGACATTGTTGGTTATATAAAATTTTTGAATGAATTTTTCACATAGCTGCAGCTAATTATTGTTTTCATTACAGATAAAATGTTTTGCCAGTAAAATAATTTAAAGACAAAAGGTTATCACAGTTTCCCAGAGCCAAGTGTGATCTTCACAATTTTGTTTCGTACCAATTAAGACAGAAAGCACTGACAAGTTTGTTTTTCAACTGCAAAATTTAACATGAATAAGTAGCAAAATATAAGCCTCAGCAAATTAGTGATTTTTCGATATATACATTTTTTATTATTTAAATTAATTTACATAACTTCATGATATTCTGATTTTCATGTTTTGTGCTGACTGATGTTTGCAGAGAAAAACAGATTAAAGGAGAAACTGGAAGAGACGGACCCTGCTGCTGACGAACAAACTCCTCCTGCTTCTTCTAAGGTAAGAAACATCTGAAACAGAACAGAAACAAATCTGACTTTAAATAACAATACTTAAATTAGAAGTTTAATTTCCACATGCATGTTGACTGTAAGGGGTTATTATTCCGAAAAAAAGTAGTGTCAGATTTACAAGACACAAAACATTTTGCCACAGTAATTTCAGAGCATATTTGGTGAAAGCATTTTGTTTTATTTAAACATAACTTTTCTCTTCATATTTCCAGAAAAAGAAATCCCTCAAAAGACCAATCATGTCAGGATAAATCTGGGTAAGTTCAATGTTTTAACTTCACATTTATGAGGTATGAAGTGAGAGAAACGCTGGTCTCATAAATGGTTCTGTGTTATTATGTTTTAGTTCCATGACGTTCTAGGGATGTAACAATCCGTCCATCAGGATAGATATATCAATTTTTATTTAAATTTAACGATCCAATATTATCGAAGCAAAGTGAAAAAATCAGCCAAAAAAAGACTATGAGGATAGCTTTATCGGAAATAAATCAACAGAATGGAAATTTTTCGATTTCGGAGAAAGTACGGGTCAACAGACAAAGTACATGCCGTGTGTAAACAACACTGTTATGAGATAAAATAAAAAAAAACAAAACAGAACAGACCTGTCGGGCCAGGCATCTCACTCTGCTAACTTCTCACTCCAATAACATTGGCTGCTCTGTTTCAACAATGACCGACTGAAAAAAATGTGCCTGCAGGCTGAAATTCAACCGTGCTCTTCTGTCACAAGATACAGTGACTTAAACCAACAGTATAAAAGAAAAAGTGTAGATACTGCATGTAATTTGTTAAGCTATGAGTAGAGTAGAGAAGTTTTGTTTCTGAACACTGACAGTTATTACTGTATATTTAGGACATACTATACTACGACATATTTTATGACATACTACACTATGACATATTTTGCAACATTTTTACGACATACTACACTATGACATATATTGCAACATTTTTACAACATACTACACTATGACATATTTTACAACATTTTTACAACATACTATACTGACATATATTGCAACATTTTTACGACATACTACTATGACATATATTACAACATTTTTACGACATACTATACTATGACATATATTGCAACATTTTTACGACATACTACACTATGGCATATTTTACAACATTTTTACGACATACTATACTTTGATATATTCAGCATAATTTTTACAACATACTATACTATGACATATTTTGCAACATTTTTACGACATACTATACTATGGCATCTATTGCAACATTTTTACGACATACTATACTATGGCATATGTTGCAGCCTTTTTACGACATACTATACTGTGACATATTTTGCAACATTTTTACAACATACTATACTATGGCATATTTTACAACATTTTTTGCGACATGCTATACTGACATTTCAACATTTTTACAACATACTATACTATGACATATATAGCAACATTTTTACGACATACTATACTATGACATATATTGCAACATTTTTATGACATACTATATTATGGCATATTTTGCAACATTTTTAAGACATACTATACTGACATATATTTCAACTTTTTACGACATACTATACTATGGCATATTTTACAACATTTTTGCGACATACTATACTGACATATTTCAACATTTTTACAACATACTATACTATGACATATATAGCAACATTTTTACGACATACTATACTATGACATATATTGCAACATTTTTATGACATACTATACTGTGACATATTTTGCAACATTTTTACGACATACTATACTATGGCATATATTGCAACATTTTTATGACATGACATTTTGTGACATATTTTGCAACATTTTTACGACATACTATACTATGGCATATTTTACAACATTTTTGCGACATACTATACTGACATATATTGCAACATTTTTACAACATACTATACTGTGACATATTTTGCAACATTTTTACGACATACTATACTATGACATATTTTGCAACATTTTTTGCGACATACTATATTATGACATATTTTTACATATTTTTACATACACATTTTACATACATATTTTCAACATTTTTACAACATACTTGACCTTTGACTACCAAATTCCCACTTTCATGATAATTGGATGAATAGACAATCAGAAAACATGTGCCTTTAGCTTTGGCTATCGCTGCAGAGGCATAAAAAAGTCATCCAGAAAGGTCTTTCTGACAGAAAGCCCTGAAGGCTAACTTGTGCCGTTTTATATGTGTTAGTGGAATTGATCTAAAGTAAACTTTATTGCACTTAAATAGCTATAATTATTTAAATTTTGTGGCTGTCGCTTCTCCTGTAATAGATTGTGTATCAATCGCAGGACCCTGAATTACATCGAGTTGAAATCTTATCATGGCAAACTTTGTGATATCAGCATGTATTGTATTGTTGTCCAAAGAAACAAAACAATATCATATTGTGATGAAACAAGTGATTTACACCCCTGTTACATTTTAAATCTATTGTAAATGGGCTTTGTAGCTATTAAGGCAAAACAGATAATCATGGATCAGCTCATCTGTGATTAAAAAACATCTGCTGAGATGGACACTTTTAGTCCAGTTCAAACCTTACTGTACCCTCAGGGAACAAAACACTAAACACAATTTAAAAAACAAGAATCAAAGTTTCTGTAAAGAGTAAGCCCCTCATGGTATGCCTTTCTCATTTCAGTGTAAGCATAGAAATATATTTTGCTTTATTGATGACTAATGAGGATGTTCTGTTTCTTTTCCCCAGTGTATTCTCTGATCAGACACGGTGGAGAACAACCAACGTCCAAAAAAGTAACCGGACAATCTGGATGTTAGTGCCTTTACTCAAGATTTCTCTGTCTGAGATAAAGTGATATCTGCTCCCAGAAACAGAGATCTCTGAGGGACATCAGTGTTTTCAGTCATGATTTACCGTCTTCTTTCTTTAAAAAACTGTGAAAACAATATAACTAACAAACCCTCAGCAGATTGGAATTTTATTTTTAAGGCATGAGCTTTAACAATCAGACCCATTTGTCTTTTTGGAAATATAATTCAGCAGTACTAAACATTGTAGTACCATTGCAGGTGTCCTTTGTCAGCATGTCAGTAACTTGCACTCTGTTGGTTTACCAATGAGCTTGGTACTGCTGGTACATGATGTTGGGAACTTCACATATCAAACTTTGGTTAGTGATGATCTTTAAGGGAACAAGCTGTGTAACGGAAACATTTCAAAACATGTTATATTACAGAAATAAGTTAAGAGGCTTCAGTCAGTTTAGAGTTAACGATCTGAAACATTCTGTGTTCAAGGTAGAAAAACTAGTTTTAGTCTGTTTAGTTTGAGACTCATGTTACATAAGATTTTTTTCTGTCAGTCATAAAGCTGTGAAATTCTGTTTTTATTTGTTTACAGAGTTCTGTTGTTTACACACTGTTTGTCTTTTTAATCCCATGAACTGTTAACTATGCATCTCATTCACTGTTTGGGTATTTCTTTGCTGTTCCTGAGGACCAACATGTGTGAGAGGAAATAAAACTCTGAAACAGCTCGGATTTTTCAGAAGCAGTGATTTTCAGAGTTTGTGCTGTTTATGACCCTGAAGATAAATGTAATACCATTATTATTATTATAATACACTGTTTAAAAACTATACTGTTGCATGATTCATTCAACCATTCATGATGGTTATTCTAAAGTGTTCCAGATGCTCAGAAACTAAAACTAAAACACCGCAGCATCGGCTAAACAGAACTGATCTCACCATCTTTCTTTTTGTCCAGCTTGTCCGATTTAGTAACAGTTAATAAGATGGAGGGAGGGGACTTATCAGTCAGTTGTCCATAAAATATTGTGGTAATGTGTTTTCTATCCCCCAGCTGTGCACACACCCTGGATTATTACTAAGCAGGGAAACCCATCTATGCACATTTAGGGGGAAAAAAAAGATAATGGGTCACTGAAAAATACTTTTTGTAGCACTGCTGGTTGAGCTGCTGATGTAACATCCACTTCAGTTTGGGAATAGACAGAGAAGAGTAAAGGGGGAAATGGGTTAACAGCTGCTGTAATGTGGGACTGAGCATAGAAAAGCGTTTAGGTGCGCTAGCGACAATGCCTTGTACAGTGTGCCAGCAACAACACAGTGGGCATAAACGAGGCTACACTTTTACACTTCTAACTAGAGATATTATAGGCCACAAGCTCTTGCTCCAACCAGGTTTCCATGACCTGTATATACAGCTAATTTGGAATAGAGATTTACACTGACTGCCAACACTGAGAACGTGTTTGACTTTACACCGAGTATGTGTACACTTTGGTGTACACACCAAACCAGGTGGCTCGTAGCAGCGAGCCCAGTAATCCGATCCCGAGGCGCAGCTGGGGGAAGGAAGGGGTCCAGTTTGGGGAACTCAGAATTGCATCTCTGCTTTTCGCAGATAATGTAGTTCTGTTGGCTTCATCACACCGTGACCTCCAGCATGCACTGGAGCGGTTTGCAGCCAAGTGTGAAGCGGTCGGGATGAGAGTCAGCACCTCCAGTTGTCTACCCAGAACTAACTGTTGTTGTTGTTAGTGTGACGTCATGGGGATTCGGTCTCTGCCTACCTAAGTATAACCATAACAGCATTGGAGAGTTTCAACAGTGAATACAAAAGAAGAAAAAGCTCAGTTCTAAATGCAATTAAGAGAAAATTTTATCATGGACAAATTAAAATTAAAATCTGATTAAAAATATTTTAAAGTGTCATTCAGCCCATTGTGCTGCATGGGGTCCACTCAGACATCAAAACCATATCCACTGGGACGAACATCCAACAGAATCTTTGCATGCAGAATTTCCCAAAGCCCTCCAAACCCAAAAGCTGAGCCCAGAAAAGAGCAGTGATGTTGATAGGTTTTCAATGTGTGTAAAGAAGTGAGTCCCTGGGATCCACAGTTGGTCATTTGAGTGGGTCCCCAATGAGATGTGTGTTTTGACAAATTCTAATGTAAAACTTGTGTCCAAAAT